GAAATTGTCTTTTGTTATGCTAATGAGACAAGGAAGGCTCCAAGGGAACCCAAAGATGGGGCTGGCTGCCAGGGGAACCAACCATGTGATTAGAGAGCTGGAACTTTCAGACCTCTCCCATATTCCTGGTCCCCCTTGCCAATCCAGGCAGAGCAGAAAAGAGGGGCTAGATTGCATTCAAATATCAACAGTCAATCCCTTAACAGATTGTGCCCATGTAATGAAGCCTCCATTAAAAACCCAAAAGGACAAGCTTTTGGGTTGGTGAAACATGTGGAGACTGGGGAGAGTGGTTGGCCAGAGCATGGAAGTTCCGTGCCCCTTCCCACATACCTTGCCGTATCTCATCCATCTGGCTGTTCCTGAGTTATATCCTTTATAAGAAACCAGTAATCTATCTGGTAAGTAAAATTTTTCTCTTGAGTTCTGTGAGCACTCTAGCAAATTAATAAAACAAAGGAGGGGGTTGTCAGAAGCCTACATGACTGGCATCTAAAGAGTGGGCATGGGGAGTCATGTGGCACTGTATCCTTAACCTGTGGGATCTGACCCTACTTCTAAGTAGATAATGTCAGAGAATTAAATTGGTTGTTTGGTAATGTTGGGGGGGGGGAACCCCACACATTGGGCACATACTGAATTCTAAAAGAAATATGAATGACTACTATTAATAAAAAAATCATTTAATATGGACAGGTAACAAAAATAGAATATAGAAAAATAATAATTGAGTTCTAGTTCGAATAATACTGCAAACTATGTAATTCAGATGAACCCTCCCAAAAACCACCAAAAATGCCAGATAAAAGAAAAATCTTTTAAAAAGCATTGCTGTGCCAATGAGTTAAAGCGGAAATTAGGCCAAAATCTCTATGAAGGGAAGAACTCCAAGATTTGAACTATGGGAAGTCAGTTTTGCTTCTAAGGTCATTCCTCTAAACCAGAAATTAACTTACTGCTTCCACTACAAACAAGTCCATGTTGACCTAAGATAAGAAGGACACCGGGTGCCTGGGTGGCTCAGTTGACTGAATGTCAGACTTCAGCTCAGGTCATGATCTCATGGTTTGAGAGCTCGAGCCCCACATCGGGCTCTGTGCTGACAGCTCAGAGACGAGCCTGCTTTGGATTCTGTGTCTCCTCCTCTCTCTGCCCCTCCCCTGCTCATGCTCTGTCTCTGTTTCTCAATAATAATTAAAGGTTTAAAAAAAAAAAAAAGAAAAAAAAAAAAAAAAAAAAAAAAAAAAAAAAAAAGGAAGGACACCCAGTAGAAGGCCAGGCCCTCATGAAGCTGAAGCCTCAAAGGACTACTCTTCAGAACAAGGGTGAGTCCAAAGTGAATCAGCCCCAAGTACCCACTCCCAGAAAAGTGGTCTTGACACCAAGCAGAGCAGGAAATAACCCATCCCTGAAGAGCTGTCACCAGAAGCACAGGCCTCCCACAGGTTTCCAGCCCCAATTCACGTAACCACAGAGGTCCAGAAGAACTCTGTCATCAAAGAACCTTGTCATCCACCAGCCAAGTCGCACCCCCAGGCACCCAGCAAAGGCAATAACTAAACTCTGCCAGAGAAATATGCCTTCACCATACACCTCAAAAATGTCCCACAGATAATTTTCCAAGAAAAACAAACAGCTTATAGTCAAAAATAGCTAAACACACAAGAAAAGTACCAAGAACAAGAAACAGAAAAAATAACAGAGATGAACCAGTATCCAGTGAATATTCTGTAACTAAATCCAACACAGATCTTCAAAGTCAAGCACAAAGTTTAGACTAGAGGCAAAAGATCATTTAAAAGTTACTGAACCCTGCAGTTCTACAATGGAAATGGTATTTCATGAAGGCACCCATGGCTCTAACGTAAGGATCAGGTGGAAAGAGGTGGAGGAGCTCAAAAAAGTGGATCAGCGCTTAACCTAGCTTAACAGAGGGGTATAAGGAGAGGAAAACGATTATTTCAAAAGACTTAACCAAAAGATGGAACAAAAGGATTTCGTGACCAATATCAAAACGACCAAATAAACATTTAACAAATGACTATTATATACAGTTAATCAAGAAACAATGACTCTTATGTAGTTACTCTTCTAGTCTACTGATCAACCCAGAAACCTACAAGCCATTCTTCACAGCTCTAGCTCATTATGTATCATAAAATCCTTTGAAGTCAATACTAACTTCAAATTTCTCCACTTCTCTCGCAATCATCCCTCTTACATGAACTACAGTAGTCTCTTTTTCTTTCTTACAACCTTCCTGTCTCTCTGTACATAAAAGCCAGAGTGACTGACTTAAAATGGAAACGTGATCATATTCCTACGCACAAAATCCTTCAATGGAGTTCCAGTGCATTTGGAATAAAACCCAAATCTTTACCGCAACCTACATGGCTTGAAAGCATAGGGCCCCTGCTTCCCTCCTCAACCTTATCTTCTACCAGCTTCCCCCGTTCTCTCTAAGCAGCAGCTACATTAACCTTTCACTAAGCTGAAGACAGAAATGAGGGAAAGGTAAAAAAAAAAATTTTTTTTTCATTACTCTCAAATTTTTCTAGACTAAAACATTAGAAAAGTGTTATACAGCTAGAATGACAGTGCTGAAAAAGTGAACCATTCTGAGAATGGTACACACAATAGTTTCAGGCAGGATGAATCTGGGGTAAGGGCAGACCACTGCAGACCTGAGACTGTCAGGGCTCATGGAACCCACTTAGTGAGATACAACCAACATTTTTGTGTTTTTTTAAAATAAAACAGATGAATGCATGTCATGCAGTATAGGTATTATTTATTGATGCTTTTGTGTCACTTATACACACAAGTACGTATGCACACATCGTGATGCAAAATGGGGTTCTGACGATAAGCTGTGATTGGCATGAAACAGACTACTGGAGAATTGTACATAGCACACAATCAAAAATGTTTGAACTAACAAGTGAAGAATTAAGCTTCACACAGCTGGAGCTATGGCAGTAAAGATGATCATTCAGCAAGCAGAACAAAAGAAATATGCAATGCCCAAATTGAGAGAAAGGGCCCAAATGGAAGACCAATAAGGGACAGTGGCCAAGGAAGTAGAATCTTAAAGAAAGAAAGGAGGAGGTCACAGTGTGGAGAGCTATCAAGACAGCAACTAAAATAAAAACTTCAAAATATAAATTCTGGAAATAATTTTTAGGTCACAGATCCCTTTGAGCATCTATCTGACAAAAGCAAAGAATCCTCTACCTAAAAAAGTGCACGTACAGGTAACACTCTGCACACTGTAGCAAGAACACTCTGTCACCAGATCCCTGCAGCTTAACCAAACACTTCCCAGGAAACCCTGGGCCCCAGGCTAAGAATCCCCACTTTATAATTTTTTTTTTAATATTTATTTTTGAGAGAGAGAGAGAGAGAAAGAGAGAGCGAGCAAGTGGGGGAGGGGCAGAGGGACAGGGAGACACAGAATCCGAAGCAGGCTCTGAGCTGCCAGCACAGAGGCCGACGAGGGGCTCAAACCCACGAACCGCAAGATCATCTGAACCAAAGTCAGATGCCCAACCGACTGAGCCACCCAGGCATCCCAAGAATTCCCACTTTTTAACAGCCACTGAATCTGGCAATTAGAATTGAGATGAGTGTTGAGAGAGACATTTCACTGAAGGGGCCAGGATGGAGACTTTGCCTGCGGTGGGATAAGTAATGACTAGAAAAGCAGAGAAGTAAGCCAAGGCAAGCTGTTGGAATTACTCTGAAGAAACGAGCACACCGGGGCTGGAAAGGAGGTTGAAAAGGTCAAGAGAAGATATTTTTAAATAAGAAAGTAGGGAGACACTAGGGAAATTCACCTCCAAGCACAATGGAGTCACTGCATTCACAAGGGGCATGCATGGTAGATGATGTGAGAAGAGGATTCAAGCCTCCATTGTACTGCATGTAATTCTATAGGAAAAACTACCTGTCAAAACTTAAATCATGATAAGTAGGCCAAAGCGACTTTGCATCATGATTTGATATGTAACAGCTGATTCCACATGTGATCGGCTATTAGGGAATACTGACAGAAGCTCCCCAGAATGAACATCTTTAAGTAACTTCAAAGGTTTTCATACCAGAAAATTTACTAAAGTAAAGGAAGTTAAGATCATTATTTCTTACATATAATCTCCTATAGGTAAACCAAAATATGCACACCAAGAAAAAAAATTATTGAATTTTCTAAATTTAAAAAACTAGTATTTAATACCTAGGAGTTCATTTTTCAAAACCTTTTTTTATCCACGTTTTCAAACTTTTCTAAAATGTTACTACTTTTACAACTTTTTAAAACTTTTTTTTTTTTTAAGATTAACTTAATTCACAGCTCAAGATAGCTACATACCATGAAATTGACCTTCTAAAACAGTTACACCATCTATTACAGACTGTGAGAGTTTCTCACTGGTGGGCCTAGAAAAGAAAAGGAAGAAAATAACACATCCCATCCTGAAACCAAGAGTTGCTAAATTCTGAAAGCAAATACAGAAATTATGTGCTACATATTTCAGAATAATAAGAAACCTGTCAAGTCTGAAAACACTGGAAAGAGGATATAGGCAAAGTATAAGCATTTTCCAGCAGTCTTTCACAATACATTTCTCAGAAAGAGTTTGGTTTTTAAACAAATTTAGAAAACAGATATAAAAATACACTGATTACACCATCCCCAAATATGTGGTCAAGTTTGACTGTAACAACATGTACGTTACCTAGGAACAGTAGCAATAAATACTGAATGCAAACAGCGTGCATTATGCAGTACAGGGGAGTAAACCACCAAGGATATGCGACCTGTTTTTCATTTGGAAAAGTCGGAACAAATTATCAATCTAAAAATAATTATATAACTGCCTTGTAGAAAATAATGTTATACATCATGTAAACTAGTTAATTGGTAAGAGGCAATTACATGGGGGAAGGCTTTCCTGGAGGATAATTATTTGTTGCAGAACATAAATCAGTAGGCTATTTCTGATACCTATAAATCCACAATCAATGGTATTTGGAAGTTTCGCTGGTAACACATTAAGGATAAAACACCAGTCTAAGCCATGAGGACACTGACTGGAAATGTCCTTTAGAAAGAATCTCTGGCAAAACAAGATCTTATATAAAAGAGAATGCTTCTGTTTCAAAGTACACTTTTAATCTAACATTTTACAAAAATATGTTTTTGTAAAGGACAGCAAAAGCTGCCAAATATGACAAATAGTCCCCTCTTGTCCATGGTTTCGCTTGCCATGGTTTCAGTTATCTGGGGTCAACTGCACTCCAGAAGCAGAGGACCCTCCTTCTAACATATCATCAGGTCAACAGTAGCCTAACACTATGTCACAGGGCCTACATGATTCACCTCACATCCTCTCTCACATGGGCATTTTATCATCACATAGCATCACAAGAAAGAAAAGAGTACAGTACACTAACATATTTTGAGAGTGAGAGAGACTACATCCACATAACTTTTATTACAGTATGTTGCTGTAACTGTTCTACTTTATTATTCATTTTGATCTCCTACTGCGTTTAACTTATAAATTCATCTTTATCATAATTATGGATGTACAGGGAAAAACATGGTATATATAGAATTTGGTACTATCCATGGTTTCAGGCATCCACTGGAGGTCCTGGAATGTATCCCTTGCAGATGGGGGATTGGGGGATACGGTATGTAGAAATAAATTGTTAATGTTTCCAGTGAACTCCAGCATGCAAAAATGATATAAATATATGAACCAACAATTATGTAGATTATAAGGTGAATCTCTAAAAATATTATTATAATGTGTTCTTACTCTACAGGAGAAAATAAACCTATAGAAATAAAGGGGCGGGAGGCATTTGTTAAGTACTTCTCTCGTGTCAGGAAATAGGTATTTTGTATACATTATGCCATGTAATTCTCACAAAAATCCTGTGTTAGGCTTTATCATCAACATTTTATAGACGGGCACATGGAAGCTCCACAAGGTTAAATAACCTATTCAATTATATAGTGTCAGAGTTGGGGTTCAGACTCCAAAACCCAAGATGCACAGAGAGACTTAGCTCCTACATCCTACTAAAAAAAGGCCAGATGGGTGGAGGAGCCTCTTAGGGCAGTTCCACTTTACTTCCTTCTTTCAGTTTATCATGGGCACTAACATTAATGTAATCACTTATGTGGAGTCCCCAAAGCTGCTTTCACCATTAACTCTGATGGTCACCTGGTATCTCTACCAATCACTATGAAGGCATCTTGTTGCAGATTCACAGCTGCTTTCACACTGATGTCCATCAACACTCTCGGCATATCTTGTTCCTCAGCATTTGCCAAACAGGTAGCATGTTCCTCCCAGGAAGGTGCCAACATTTCACCCAAAGGATCAACCAATTTTACCCCATTGTCTTCCTTAAAAGAAAAACAAACAATAAGCCATCTGCGAGCATTCACAAGGGTGAGTTGAGGAAGTAAACTCAAGCTGTTTTCCCCTAAAAAAGACACTGATGGCTGAGCGACTTCACCAGTGACCAGTACAGAATACCAGGCACTGGACTAAGTGTTTTATAATACTTATAATAATAATAATCCTATTATTATTCCAGTCTTACTTTGAGAAAATGGATTCAAATCAAGAAATCTGCTTATGTTCATATAGCTAATAAGTGTCAGTGCTGCTATTAAAATACCAAGTCCATTATTAGTTTTAAGCCCACAGCCACTATGCTACACTAGCTTTTTTAAAAGGCTGTCATCTGTGCATTCACCATCAATTACATGACCATGGTGCAAATGGAGCAGAATGAGGGCAGTGAGAGCTCCTCCCCACTATGACTCTGTACTCTAAGAACACACTGGCCAATATGTCAACCGGTGGGTAACAGAAGCTGAAAACAGACTCCCCATTCCGTTCTGCTCAAATTTCTGGGAAGAAATAAACTGTAGTTCAGAATGATTGTCAACTGAAGGAGACAACTCAGTATTAAGAAGTACTTCTGGAAGTAGCAATAAATATAGGCTTCAGCCCGTAAGTCAATCAATTATGGTGATTTAGACATTCAGACATGCATTTCTAGTGATCCACGTTTACAAGTTGGACAAGCAGTGTCCTCCTGTGTGGAGGGAAGAGGAGGTTATAATCCTTCACAGACCTACTTAAACTTGGTGCAAATTTATCTACAAAGGCAAAAATCTCAGGCCCTTGCCACCAAACAGAAGCATATTATTCAAACCATGTATTAGTGGGCTATGGGCAATACAGAAGAGTTAGACTATGTCAAAAGGAATACTTTGAGAAAAAAATTTAATTGTCGTAACCCTACAACCATTAGACCTCATCAATAACCTGCCCAAAGCTCACTTTTGTATCTGGAGCCACCCGTTTGGCTGTTCATTCAGAACAGGAAGCTATTCCCTAACTACAGAAAACCAGTCTTAAATATGTTCAAGACATTCTGAATGAATCTTTTCAAATGTCTGCCCTTCCCCGTCTTGCCTCCAATCTCTCTACTCTCTACTACATTAACAGAAGTAACACTTTTTGTTACTGATACTGTCTCAACACAACTAACTTGGAAGAACGTTCTGTTATTTCTCTGATATGAACACAGTCCAAGAAATGAGTCTCATTTAATTCTCTCTGCACCCTCTATGGAGTCATGAGCTAAATGACCACTCATTAAGAAAAAGCCATTTCAAACCCAAAGGCACATCAGGAGCACAAACATTCCTAGAATTAATTTGTACTTTTGGTCAAACTGCTCAGACACTAAGATGTGTACTTGTAAATAAAGATTTGCTTTATCGGAGCACGAAAAGCATTACCTCAGGATTATGTGATGCTGTTACCATGACTCCTATTGTAGATTTTGTCTGTTTTGACCTCAGGACAGCTAATAATCCCATGCGAAACATGACATGATCGAGATGTTCTGCTTTCGTTCGAAAGCCAGCAGTTCCATATTGAAGAATGAGTCCACTGGGCTTGGGATGTAATGCGGAGTATTCTGTAATAGCATCTAAATCCATGTCTACAAAATTAAGGAATATTTTTCAGGCACGAGAAATGTTACAAGGACCATTTGCTTTAAAAGCTGCCACCATAAACTAAGAGGTCTGCCTCATTCTGAATGCCCACAAAGAAGGTTTGAGAAAGAATGGCAGAATAAGTCCTGGTGATAGGCATTACCTAGAAGATCCTCCCCAAATTGTATTGTCCACTCGAGGGCAGATAGCACCAGACTATCCCTCCAACTTCTCTCTCGTTTTGTCGCCAGGACTATTCCTGGACCCAGGGAAAATTTTAAATGGTCCACTCTCAACTAAAATGAAGATTCCACACATAGATTCGTAGACTTCTACAAGTTCAAAGATTATCTCATTTCATAAACGGAGAAACTTAAGTCTGGACCTCAGTTAAATAACATAAATACACAAGGGTAGCTGGTGACAGACTGAGGCCTAAGGTCACAGTGTCAAATGGACTGGGACTACGTATCCAAAATATCTGGAAAATCTGTGTGGTTCTTTTGTTACTCCTCCCACACCAGAGACATATTCCCAAAGGAAAAGCAAAGAGCAACAGCTTCCTCTCCAAAACTGCCCAGACCTCCTAATAAACCTTGCAGTGGATTTTTCTATTTTCATTAACAGAGGACCAGGACACCCTTCTAAATTGAGCTCTGACAGTAGCAACATCTTCTTTCTCCCTTTAATTTTAAACAGTGGCCCTGAGCCCACTAGCACTTCCTTCTCTGGGATACTACAGTTTTAAGTGAAACTTGGGGTTTCCAACCTCAGCTGTATATACTATTCACTTCCCCAGTCAGTCCCATTTCCAATTAGCCCAGAGATGAACAGCAGTCCTGTCTCATTTGCTTTACCGTCCTTCGATGCGTCAATGAACAAAAGTTAAAGAAAATGGTAGAAAATTTTTGCTTTTGTCCAACTGGAACAAGCTGGTATTCAGCAAGCTAATTTAGTTTGGTCCAAAGTGATCAAATCTCTTGTACAAGCAAGAATATATTTTGTTAAAAACTGACCATTCGGTAGTATATCATGATTATTCATAAGGGTGTAAACCAGTCCTGTTAAATCCAGAAAGTCTTTTAAAAAGAAAAAAGATCAAATGCTTCCACCCTTCAATGCGTTTTCGGTCCTAAAACTACGTTCAACGAGGGTGCGAACGCTTTTTTTTTTTTCAGTATATGAAGTT